AGACTTCTGTGCTGGTCTGTGTAGAGAAATTGCTGACAAGTATGTATTACCATCCCTGTCTGGAAGACATCACACACTTCAGAGAGGAGTCAGGGAGTTGTAGCCAGCCCTCTAGCACCCTCTAGACAAGAAATTACATGTATAAACACTGTTTATTATATTTTTACTATTTATACAAGCAATAGAGTTTTGAAGTATAATTGATCCTGATATTATCCCTGTCACTGCATTAAGAAGATAAAAATTATAAGCTTTGGTATAATTAAAAAAAAGTTCTTAAGTTTGATCATCATAATGTGCAGTGTTCTTCATTTATAAGACCATGGAGTGACAGGACAAGGGGGAATGACTTTAAACTGAAAGAGGAAGAAGGTTTAGATTGGATAATAAAAAAAGTTCTTCCCTGGGAGGATGGTGAGGCACTGGTACAGGTCGTCCAGAGAAGCTGTGGATGCCACATCCCTGGAAATGCTCAAGGCCGGGTGGGATGGGGCTTGGAGCAATCTGGTCTAGTGCAAGGTGTCCCTGCCCGTGGCAGGGGGTTGGAACTGGATGATCTGTAGAACCCTCGATGGGGAGAACCCTTTGCCAGTGGTTACATTCACAGCTGAAAGTAACTAAGTTTCCTCCATCAAAGCAAGCTGTGCAGCTTTCCTGCACCTGTATAGGTTGTGCCTGGAAGGTAAATGCAGGCAGGAATCTCTTTACCTCCACACTTTCATATGTGGACCAGTTTGCTGGACAGCCTATACAAGGCTTGGGCATGCTGCACTGTGGGGCTTCTGCTGCTGCAGATCCTGTAAGAAATTTAGAAGGTAATTGGTTTGGGGCATTTTTTCTGTTGGAGGCTGAGAATTCACTGTTGGCTACACAACAAACACTTCTTCTTGTAAGGCAGATTAAAAACTGTACGTGAAAACAATGGATGTTAGTTCATGTGAAAATTTTAGGACATGCTTTACACATCTGGAGCAAATAGATGGGATCTTCCTGGGCAATCTGGAACATCTGTGCAGGATGCCTCCCTAATGGCAGTGAAGGAACGAGGCTGTGATGGTATTTTTATATAGATATATCTATATTACAAGTTTGCTCAGCTTGAGGTCTACTGTGCTGTTGCTGTTGCCAAAGCCTGTGTGTTCCCAGCATTGTCATCCTGGTATGGTTCTGCTTTCCATGACAGAATTTTCTGGAAAAGTATCAAAGCTGTCTTAGCTCTGATCATTTGTTTGGCAATGGTTTGTCTGTCAAAGTACTCACTCACTCCATCGGATTTCAGTCACCAGGCACGCAGTCTGCCATCAGCTTCTCCAGCTCTGTAACTGGGAGCTTGGCAAATGCAGCTTTTTGAAAGAGCCAGAGACATCACCATGCTATGAATAAACAATATGGGAGCAGAGAAAATAAACAATTCAATAAATAAAATACAGTAAATAAATAAACCAGAGAGTGGTTCAGGCTTCCAGATTTATTCCCATTTCCTTCAATAATCTTGACCAAACAGTGACCAAGCACTTACCTTCTGACATTTTTTTGCCACCACAAATGATCATTCTGAAATGACTTTGTAAACATAAACACTTCACTGAATGACAGACAAACCCAAGGAATGTAAGTGGAAAACGTTCCTTATCTGGGAAAGTCGCAAAAGTCACTTTGATTCTTTTCTGGAGCTGTGAAACACTTTTTGCATGTGACCCTGAACATCCTTAATTCAACCTCCTTAGTCTGAACCTAAGGGTATTTCATGAAGGATTCATCTGAGACCCACAGGATCCCTGTATACATTTCTGGTTTGGCACAGCTGCTTTCTTTTATTCTCTGTGTGTCTCCATGTGGTATCTGAAACTGTGCTGGGGATCACTGCTGCAAGCAGGCATATGCAGCTTCTCCTCACTGCCACATTCAATCTCAAAAGCCAAAGAGAGAGGGAGGGCAAAACCCCAAGTTCATATGCAACATACGACAGAAGAAACAGGTTCTGATGAAGATGTGGTTGGTTTGTTCTCTTGACAAAGGTTTCTGAAATCTCTCTCAAAGCCTGTGTTTCTAGACCAAACAGCTCTGCAGAAAGCAGGTGGTTACAGCAAGTCTACATGAGGCAGAGGTGTGTGGGTGTCACATGAAGGGCATAGCTTGTGCCAGTGATGCTAGTCATCCACTGGGAAGTGGCTGTAAGACAATGAGTGCTGTGGGTCTGGGACACTGTTCCTGTGCTGCCTCAGGATCTAGTGAGCAACATTTTTCAAAAATAGTGGTCCCATGGAAAGTCATGGACAAGGGTGAGGGTGTTTCTTGAGGTGTTGCTGATGTAAAATCTACAAAGCCCCCTCAGCCTTGCTTCCTGCTTTCTGCTGGTCCCTACTGCACTGCTAAGCTAGAACTTTCCCTCAAGTTACCATTCGAGGACAGAGGCTGCTGAGGTGCACACAGGTTGCCCAGCAAAATCAAAATGCGGCAAGTGAAATAAGGATAGGAGCTATCTGAAGGTGATTGGTGCTGATTCCCACTAAAATGGACCATAGGTGAAGAACAAAGAGAAAGGCTGACTGAAGAGGAATGGTTTGAGTATAGCTGGAGACTGGATAATACCTCAGGTGGGAGCTGATGTCTGTTCAGGTGTGTGACAAAGGGCTCCTTAGTGAGCAAACTGCTTCTGTGCTGCTGCAGTAGGAGCATGTGCATGAAATCGCCCCAGTGAAGCATTGCAGAGTCCAGTTGGAAAAGAAACCAGATGCATGAGAGTTTTTTGTTAACAGTTTTGCTGCAACCCAAACCAGCCCAGGTTTCATGCAGAAGCCTGTTGCAGAAACTTTTAACCCCTTCCTTTACTGCTGTTGCATTATTTTCAAAGTATGATACCACTCCCATACACAAAAGAAAGTCTAGCATATAAGGATTTTTGTTCATATGTACAAACCCCAGTAAAAAAGGTTGAACACAATATATACACTGGGAAATATAATCCTGGAATATGTGTCAATAACATGATTGTTCTGTAAAATAATCCTGCCCACGTTTCCCTTCAGAGATCTCTTCCTCTTTAAGCGAGGTGTCCCCACATTGGAGATATTGGTGTCACTTGCTCGAGTCTCATTCTCTTCACAGGGGTCTGAGAAAGGGGACAGGTCCATGTCCACATCTGTGTCATGAAAGCAGCCGTCGAAAGCCATTGCTTGCACTGCATCAATGCTGTACATTCCTGAAGCCTGGAAACAAAGAATAGTTATTCTGTGTCTAGCAGGAGCCATTTCAGTAAGTTATAAATGAGTAAAAAAGAAAATAAAGAAAGTTTTCCCTTCAGTGTTGTTCTCTCTGTGGAGAGCATATGGAGAACAGGGCTACCTCACAGTACAGCTGTCTGTGGGGCCTGTCCCCTTGGGCCGGACACGAGCAAGGAAGGGGAACATGTGATACAACACTTGTGTGACTGATTATTGCTGGCTTGTGGCTGGCAATATGTGCCCCAGCTTCTGAAACAGAAGACTCAAATGCTCTCTCTCCTGTAGGTCTGCGTTCTGGAGTTGTGGGAAATTACTTCAAACACTTCCATGAGCAGTTTTTTGATGGGAGTATCAAATCACGTGAGCAACACATGCACCCTTTCTGTGCTTTTCCCCTCATGATAGTCCAACAAATGAGTTAACATGGGGGATATTCTTGAAGCAAAGGGTTTAAGTAAATGCTTTGTAGAAAGCAGATGTTTAGCTTGTGACCATTTCTGCTTCAGGCACACTTTTCTAAAAATGACCTTGTCACTCATCTGGTCTTGGGACAAAAAGGCATCATTAAACCCATCTTCCTAATTGAAAATGGCAAAGCAGGAGAAGGAGAAATGGACTTTGCTTCACAGGGAACAGGAAGGACTGTCACATGAGTTTATTCTGGGGTTTATTTTAGAGAGAGGAAAAACACCTTGATCGATAGGTTTTTGAGAACAAAAGGAAGGTTACCTTCCTCTGAGGGCAAAAAGAGAGGGCAAAAAGACAGGAGGTGTAGTCCCTAACCTCTGCCACAAGAAAAAGAAGGCAGAAAAAGCACAGACCTTCTCAAGATCTCAGAGAGGGTGATACTTTTTCTCCCTTCAGGCAAGTCAAAAAAAGAAGATACAGAGCACAGACAGGAATAGTGAGTGTTCTGTTCTCACAGGATTACTCTGTGGCTTCTATGATGCTTTCTGAAGGCAACAAAACACAGAGGATTGTACCTTGCCCCTTTTTTTGAGTTGCTTTCTCTCTTCAATTGTGGTGAGATAGTTCACTGCTGCATATTCGATGACAGACAGGAAGACAAAAAGGAAGCTGATCCATAAATACACATCCACAGCCTTTATGTAAGACACTTGTGGCATTGAGGCACTTACTCCTGTCATGATGGTCGACATTGTCAGCACTGTAGTTATACCTGCCAAGGAAAAAGGGGAGGTTATCATAATGCTGGCCAGCTGTTCTGTTCAGGTCATTACCATTGCTTGGACAGCACAGCTTTGTGAGGGCGTATGATTGACACTGCCTTTAACTTCATCACACAGGCTCTGAAAAGTGGAGTGAACCATGAAGGACCCATCACATACAATACTGAAACCAGTAAATCATCTCTCTGCTCAGTGCATGCCATTAGAGCTGCAGCACACAGCTTCTAATGGAGGGGATGCAACACTAGTGATTCAGCAGCATAAGGAACACATTTCTGTGACAGCTTTAGGCACTGTTGAGGAGAAATGAAAACAGGTTTGTGGTCTTCTCTCACTTCCCAGAGCCAGAGTTACCACTGCACACTTTGCTGTCCAGAAGAACCACCAAAGAATCACCAATTTCCCTCCCAAACCTTTCTCAAATTGTACTTCTTGAGAACATATGTCTGCATGTACGTCTCTGTCATACCTCCACGGCTCTCTGGATACAACCTAGCAGAAAAATGCTACATCCATTGAAACTAAGAACAAAAATTATTCTTTACTTCAGTGTGACTAGAATTTCATCCTAATCTTTTCAATCCCACCTCTTACATCAGCTGTTCATCTCCTTTTGGTTTGCTCCACCTCAGAAAAGAACCCAATACCCAACTTAGGCCCTGCTTTTAAAGAAATGAATGTAATTGGAAGTGAAGACCTCTCAACAATATCTGTGAGACAGCACTGGCTGACAGCATGGCCTGTAACCTGGGTCTCAGTGTAGCTGTTCTCCAGTTCTACTCTAGTTCAAGTCCACTACAACATAGAGGAGTTTTCTCTCTCCCTCTTTTCAGGTTCCTCAGGTTGAAGGATGGAGTTTGAAATATACAATATAAGAGGAAATCAATTTATTTAAAATACAGGTACTCTAGGCTAGGGACATAAACTTTTTAACCTCTGTTGTGAACATTGCCTATAAATTACGTATGCTTATGCTAATCAAATGTGTGTTATTCATAGAACTCCTGGTGCATAACCTTCTGCAGAAATCCATATATAAAGAACATGATCAGCAAAACCATCTTGACAACATTAAAAATGGCCTACTGAGAATTAACAAGATATTTTTAAAGGTGGAGCAACATTTCTTGTAAGTAAAGGAATTGGGAGATGCATTAATAAAAGCAGGTAGGAGGTACCATAATTTGTTTTCAGATTAACAAGTAGATTTATTTTTCATGGTTGAATAGCTTTAGATTGTGCCAATAGAAAGGGATCTGAAGTAGCTACAGTCCTATATTTTCTAGATTGATACAGCTATAGATAAAAATTTATGGATTTTCACTTGTCTAAGAAATGTGACAACATGCAATTGACTTCTGGACCAGCATCAGTGAGAAGAAAGAACAGGAGCTTCTTTACTAATTCTTAATTCTTTAGAGACAGTGAGGAAAGCTAAGGCACAGTTGGAATTGAGGGTATCCAGGGATATTAAGGATAACAAGAAAGGTTTCTACAGGTATGCCACATGTAAAAGGAAGGCTAGAGATAATGTGGGCCCTCTCCGGAAGGAAATGGGTGAAATGGCTACCCTGGACATAGAAAAGGCTGAAGTTCTTAATGACTTGTTTTCCTCAATCTTCAGCTCCAAGTGCTCTAGCCACCCTGACCAAACTGAGAAGGGTAAAGGTGGAGACTGGGAGGATGAAACCCCTAAACCCACTGTAGAAGAGGATCAAGTTCGAGACCATCTCAGGAACCTGAATGTGCCTAAGTCCATGGGTCCTGATGAGATTCATCCTCAGGTCTTGAGGGAACTGGCTGATGAAAGTGGTAAGTAATTTCCAGAAATCCTGGCAGTCAGGTGAAGTCCTTGATAACTGAAAAAAGGGAAGCATAACCCCCATTTTAAAAAAAGGGAAAGCAGAAGAACCAGGGAACTATAGACCAGTCAGTCTCACCTCTGTGCCTGGCAAAATCGTGGAGCAGATTCTCCTGGAAGGTGTGCTTAGGCACATGAAAAGCAAAGA